GCTATCTTTCTAGCTATCTAGAGATAATACTAATTATTGAAAATCAGTATATATATATATATATATATATATATATATATATATATATATATATATATATATATATATATATATATATATATATATATATATATATATATATATATATATATATATATATATATATATATATATATATATATATATATATATATATATATATATATATATATATATATTACTTAATTTTACGCAACGCCATAGGATTTTAGGAAGTAGCGATGCCTTCCCATCTAAAAATTAACGTTCAAGAAACGTTACCATAACGTTCGTTTAGGTTTGCAAAACGTACGCTGCAAACGTTATTTGAACAAATTTTTGTGAACTCCATTTTACAGTTCTTGAAAGTTCGCTGTGAACGTTCAAATAACAAATAGCAACAACGTTTGCTGCAAACTTTTACTTTGATAGCTCTTGAACATCTACCTTAAACGTGTTATTGCAAACACGGACGTTAACCCAACATTTTTTTTTCCTTTTCAATGTATAGATTTAAACATACTTTCTGTTTAAACCTACGTTTGATAGTATTTGTAATGCAATGCTTTTTTGAATTTACATAACCTTTTTTTACTTAATAAATACAAATTAACCATGTTTTTCAGCTGAATTACACTATATAAAGCTTACATGAAAACCCAAGATTTAACAATTACATTACAACCAAAATGCACACAATTAGCTGAGCTGATTAAAATTAACAAAAATAGTACCTCTTGCAATGAAAAAGTTGATTTATTAGTACTAGCTAGCGCCCTATAGGGCATAAACAACTATTTACATCGATTTAGACTAAATATTTACGAAACAACATCAACAACATAAAAAATAAATACATGTTATTCCAGTGAAAAAGCTAATTCCATTAACAACATAAAAAACATGCACGTCGTACTTAAGATACCAAGACTTACCATACTTCATCATAAATAAAAAATTTTATTTAAAAAAAAACTATTTAGTGGATTTGATGAACAAACTAGTTTTATTTATGAGTTATCTATGCACAAAAAATGACATTAGTTCACAATGTGTTTTAGGGATAACATAATTAACTTTAATTTTTAACAGGTCCCTAATACTTTGAAAAAATCTTTTTCAAAAATGTCATGTTGGATCTTCAAAGTAGTGAAATTATAAAAACTTTTCAAATAAATAACAGTTTAATGATACAACTTTTATTTTAGATTTAATTAAATAAAAACTATAGCTTTTGAACCAAAGTGCATTTTAACAAATTTTTGATAAAAAAAATAGTTGATTTTTTTTTTTTTTCTAAAACGAATACTATTGTTGAAATTTATACATTATTTTTGCTTCTTTTGGATAGCAGATTGACCTACTTTAAAAAAACTTTATTTTTAATATAAGGACTCCGTTGAAATATAAAGTTAATTGAGCTGTTACCTAACATAGGAATAATGCTTTGAAATTTTAAGGAATTAATTTTTTCATCAATTAACAACATTGAAACATCTAGCCACTTGACAAATTTAAAAATTATTTTTTGATATGGTCATATAACATGCATAAAACATAACATATGCAAGTCCATACTGTAAGAACTTTCTTCAAAACTTTATTTTGAGCATTAGCTGTAAGTTTTGTCTAAATAAATACAATTACATTTTTTTTATTATAAGACTTAATGATTAACACTATGATATGCATTACTACTAAAAATTTACTTTTATTTATCTAAAAACCAACTATACAGGTAAAGAAAAAAAACAATTTTTTTTACATGAAATTCTAGCTAATTCCACCTGATCGATTAGGAGCATGATAAAAATGGTGAAATTTTGAAATACTCTAACTTTGGTCATTCATGGAAAAATAACGAAGGAAACAATAAGCACGAATGTTGTAAAATGTATGTTAAAAATGTGACTTAGTAAATATGAACTTGTATTGCAATTGCGTAAATTTACAGGTAACTTTACCTGTAAATTTACCAGTAAGTTTTGACATTTATAATGGATACTTACCATGGTATTTTATTTGAATAAAGAATTTGTTTATAATTTTAAAACTACCCTGATTTAAAACAAAATTTACTGGTCAAATTGCGGGTTTTGATTTCAAAAAATACTGGTAAATTTAAATCACTAAATATGAAGTAATAAAAAAAATAATAACATATATTGCAACGCATTGAAATAGTTTTTTGTCTAGTTAATACATATATATCATCTATGGATTCACGTGAGAAAGCTCGGATGGTTCGTGGTTTGAAGGCTGGGGATAAAGATATGAGTAAAAGGAAAGCAGCTATAACATTTGGCTTTAAAAAATCAACGTTCATCGACAGAAGTAACGGCAAACATACTAAAAAAAATGGCAAGCCAACTAAGTTAAGCAAAAACATCGAGGGCATTTTAGTAAAAATTTTAATACTTATGAGCAATATTGATTTTAGTTTGACTAGACTTGAAATATTGTGTGTTGTTAACAACTATTTGGTTAATTTAAATCAAATGTGTTTTAACGGCGGCGAAGTTACACTTGCCTGGTATTATTCATTTATTAGACGTCATTGTGAAGAGCTATTGCTCAGAACTTCAAATAATATGCCGTCAAACCGTGCAATGTCGACTCAGCCCAGCACTATTAATCGGTAGTATTTGTGAAAGTTATATGTTTTTATGTAAATACATTTTATAACTAATTGTTATTCAATAAAAAAAAAAGTGCAATTTTTAAAAGGTAAATTTTAATTTGATTGTAATGTTTACAAATTGTCCTTTTTTTATAAACTGCTCAATTTATAGCATTTTAATAACCTACTTTATAATTTTTTAATTTCTTAAATCAAGGTTTGTACAAGTGTCTGATATGTACAATATACATGGATTCGCAACTAAGTCGTTCCACATTTTTAACTGCGATGAATCTGGTCTTCAATATGATCAAAGCAAATTTAAGGTTGTGTGTCGGAAAAGTTTAAAAGGGCCTAAGAATCTTGCAGTAGCAACAAAAAGGCTTCAGTCACAATACTCGTTTGTTGTGATGCTTTTGGAACATTCTTGCCTGTTCATCTTTTATTCCAAGGCCAAAAGTATTTATGATGAATTTTAAGGGTATGTATTTTAAGAAGGCTTTAAAACAAATGTGCCAATAATCCGGAAAACTCTGCATTTTAAAAACTACTATTTAATTATTTGAAATTTTAGATTGATGTCCAAATGGTTTTTAACTCAGAATGCGCCTAACAGTACTACCTATGGTGTTACAATCTGGCTGGATGGAAGAACCTGCTTTTGCTGGATAGTTTGAAAAGACATTTGTCCCATATTGTCGCAAGCTTGAAGGATCCAAAGTCCTTTTTATATATGGCCATGCCTCTCATGTAACGCTGGAACTAATTCACTTAGCAAAAGAGGAGAACATTACTATTTTTAAGCTACCGGCTCATACATCTCACGTGGTACAGCCACTTGATGTAGGCGTATTTTGGAAGATGAAAAATAAATGGCTCGAAATCCTAAACAAAAATTTCATTCAAAACAGTTTTAAAGATCTCACAAAACCAAGGTATCTTGGGTTGCTCAATTGGGTTGCTCATTTAAAGACATCAATTTTAAATGCTTTACATGTTGGCCTGCCCAAAGCTTCCGTATCAGAGTCAAAGCTAAATGTTTCTAATAATAACAAGCGCCTCATGAAAAATTACATTATGACTTCAGTAAAAGCTTTGATAGAACTTACAAATAAGCAAACAACGGCACAAAATAAGAAGAACGAAATACAAGCTAGAAAAGTTTTGCGTAAAAAAACAAAACAGGAGGCTAATTAAGGAGGCTAATTAAACAAAACAGGAGGCTAATTAAACAAAACAGGAAGCTAATTAAATTCAATTAAGACTCAAAAACGTTTGGTAAAGGAAGCTGATTGTTACAATATCGATTATCAATATAATGTTTCAGAAAAAAAAATTGAAAATTTTTAATTTATAATAATAAATAAATGTTCAAAGCTTTAGTGACCGAACTTACCCAGTGGACACAGACGTAAAAAAGACGTCTTTTAAACGTCTTATACACGTTTTAGACGTCTTTTGAACGTTTTGGACGTCTTTTGAACGTTCAAAAGACGTTTTTTTTTGGTCCGGTGCCCACTGGGTAGGCGATTTTATGGAACGTAAAACCTGCATGCCCGACAGTTCAAATACGCATGCGCTAGATTTAATTTTTTATTATTCCATTCGTAGTTACTTTCATTTAAATTTTACTATTTTTTGTGAAATAAATAATAGTATAAACAATATATAATAACTTAATATAAGTAATATATAAATTGTACATATAAATTTATGTTTGCCTCGTATTTACTGTCATGGAAACTTACAAAGAACTGTTGGTAAAAGGAATACTTTTTTTTTTTTTTTAATATTTTTATTAACCATAATATACTATATTAGTTATATAGTATATTATACTGCTAATATAGTGCAGTACTACTATATGATATACTGGTAATATAGTATATACTGCTAATATAGTATATTATATTTATTTTATTGACTATATTATATAGTCAATAAAATAATTATACTCTAGTAGATTTATGATTACTAGCAGTATATATATTCTATATACTGTTAGTAAGCATATATATATAAAGATGCTTAATCATTCTAAGTAGCTTTAGTAGTTCTAAAGCACTAGTAATGTAAAATTAAATATTTATGGCAGTATCTCCTGGCATTAATTATGTCATAATTAACACCAGACATTAATACGAAAAAAATACACAATGATCTTTTTACTAAATAACTAAAAAGTGTTATTCAACTTGTTATATTCATATACTATGACAAAAACTGGTTTGGGAAAACTAGTGTCTTCTCAGAAATTGAGTCATAGTTTTTTTAATCCCTTCCCCGGATAAAAATAATTGAATGGGCATCTTTCTTTTTTGTAAACATGCAAAAAAAAACAGTAATTTGTGTCTCAACTTACTCAACCTACAAGTTTTCAGATCTTTTGCCAACCGTTTCCTTGCTATAACTTCTGAGCTCTATAACTTCTTTTTTTTTCTAATAACTCCCTACTCAATAGTGGTTGCTTGCAGCCTTGTTGGTAGTGAATCAGAATACAAAAAAAAAAAAAAAAAAGAAGCTATTTCTTCACATAACTCTATCTTCTAATGTAAAGAAAAAAGAATGTATTTTCAGTTGCATAACTGGCAGTTCAACAAATAGATTAGACAATCATGTATACGATTGCGAGAAAATACACAACAAACGTAAAAGCCATTCTTTCAGCTTTTTGTTTTTCTCAAACTAAAAAATAAAAAAATTTGTTTACTGATAAAAATTATTAACATAAACAAAAACATGACACCTTTAATCAATACTTCCTTTTTTCAATAGCATTATAATAATGCTATTGAAAAAAGGAAGTATTGATTAAAGGTGTCATTACAAAAACTTTTTTTTTTTTTTTTTTTTTTTTTTTTTTTTTACCATAATAATTCTTTACAATAAAATATAATGTACATAAAAGAATAATGGAAGGACTTCTAGAAGACCATATAGATCCTATCACGAAGCCCTGTTTAATTTATAGTTTCAACAATATTTAAATAATATAAATTTACAATTTCCGTATTCAAGTTATATGGATTACAGTAAAATTAACAAAATTAAAATAAAACTGAAAAATATATAATCTTTAGAAGTAAATAAAGATGTTTTTTAAAGAAAAAATAATTTCTTTTAATTTTTGTTTGAAATAACTGTAAGTCAAATTAATAGAAAAATCTATATTAGGTATAACTACTTTATTCCATAGATATGAACCACGATAAGAAATACAAAGTTGAGTATACTTGTTCCGACAAAAAGGGGCATTAAGTAACTCATAGTTACAACACCATAGTTAAATATTTCTATTATATAATTTTTTACACATATCAAAATCTTGATAATAACATTTGCAATAGTATTACTGATGAAAATACTGAATATATATATATATATATATATATATATATATATATATATATATATATATATATATATATATATATATATTTAAACAATTTGAAATGTATTCTACAAAAAGAATGCTCAATGTTCTTAAAAGAACAGAGCAATTACAAATTAGTAGAAAATCACTTAGCAAAATTTTTTCTCATTTAACACTGTGTTTCATCAATAAAGACTCATCAGAAATGCATTTCTGATGAGTCTTTATTGATGAAACACAGTGTTAAATGAGAAAAAATTTTGCTAAGTGATTTTCTACTAATTTATATATATATATATATATATATACATATATATATATATATATATATATATATATATATATATATATATATATATATATATATACTATATATATATATATATATATATATATATATATATATATATATATATATATATATATATATATATATATATATATATATATATATATGTATATGGCCATTGTAGCAGGTAAAATTCTTTATTTAAGATAATAAGTTTATTTAAAAGTTAACTAACCAAAAACAATTTAAAAAAAAAAAGATGAACTTAATTCATTGATGAACTTAACATATGGCATATCCTATAAAGATCCATACCTAGACCACAAAAATATAGGCTTTAAATATAGTATAGAGCAACAGGCAACTTCACACTGCCCAAAAAAAAAATAAAGTTTTCACGGTTTTCAATTTCCTACCGGGGTCCGTACCTATATAACAAAATCATATCCAAAAATATAGAACTTAAAGTATTAAATAATGCTGCCAACTTGAAAAATAAATTAAAACACCTCATACTTAATACCAACTATTATATCGACATGTATTAAACTTAACATTAAAATTTATATTAAAATATTTTTGTATCACTGATTGTATATTGTTTAACCACTTTTTACTATATATAAAAATAAAATAGACTTTATTTAACCTTTTAAAGAGGTACTCGATGATAAGTCTTCATAGACTTCTACGAGTTTTCCTTTACAACAACATGTATATATCTGAAGTACCAAAAAAAATTCTTTTTTTTTTCTTTTTTTCTTTTTATTCTTATTCTTTTGTTTTTTAAAAATACTGGTTACATTTATGATAAGAAACACTATTAATTTACGCTATACTTAGATATATATTGCTATGTTATACGTGGTATTATTATCTTATATTTTTACGTGAGATTATCTTATGCCATGTAGTTATAAAGTTGTAAAAAATATATATATATATATATATTGGTTAAACAAAGTAGACACTTTTTATCCAAACTATAAAAAACAGAGACTGTTTGTTAATATGCCAGCTCTCTTGACAATTAAAATACAAATTAAGAGGTAAATAAGAAAAAAAATGAACACAATAATAACACTCATTCATTGTCATATAAATAATGAAAATGTTTCGCTTTTTGAACTATTTTTTTTTGACCTAAAAAATTACTATTTTCACCAAAAAATATTGTTTTTAAAAAATCAAAAAAAATACTTTTTGCTTTTTTAAAATAATTTTAGTTATTATGTTACATATTGATCATATTTTATAGCAAGTTTTACTTTTAAAGTATGTAAAGTATTTAATATATGTTATATTTAATGTTTATTTATTTAGCGTATTCATATTGTAAGAATAAACGATACTTATTTTGTAAAAGACAATAGATATTGTTACGGGTTTCGTAATTAGATTCGTAATTCATAATCAATACAATCTTCTTAAAATCCTATACTATCTAATCCTATAAAATCCTATAAAATACTATATTATAAATTTTAAATCTTATTGTCAATATTATTACGCGCAAATAAAATAAATAAAACACAGTTTCAAATGAAAAAGAAATAATTGATTTTCTAATAATTTATTAAAATTAATGAAAAATTGGTATAAAAAAAAAGAGGAACAATTGAAAAAAATGCATATTTCACTTAAACTTGTTTTGTCAGGAAAAAAGAACTTAAAAAATCAAATTTTGAATGGCAATTTGAACTCCTACTATTTTACTAATTTATTTTGCATTAGCTTGATGTTATTTTCAAATACTATTAAGTATTAGGCCATTTTGTTGTAAGTAATAAAAAAAACCCAAGACATAAAGTCACGTTTTTTAGAATTTCATACAGAGTCAAACTCTTACAGTGGCGGGTTATAAGAGGGGGGGGGGGGGAAAGGGCATGGTGGAAGTAGCCCCTTCCTTGGGACTTTTTTTCAGAAATATTTTTTTGTAAATTGATTCTTATACAGAATTGAAGTACAGTATACTGACGAATTGAAGTACAGTATACTGACGAATTGAAGTACAGTATACTGACGAATTGAAGTACAGTATACTGACGAATTGACTATTGTATGTAATTATATACGTAAATGAACTTGATTATTACACTAAAGTACAAAAATTAAAAAAAAGAAAGTTTCTTATAAATGAAAATATACGAACCTTTTTTTTGACCTTTTTAGCCCCTCCTTGGCGAGTGACAAAACCCGCCCCTGAACTCTTAATAGCTGTTTTTAAGTTTTATTGAATCATTAGTTGTTTGAATTAAAAAATGAAATTAAGGCAAAAAAGTTCCATTAACTTTGCGAAATTTAACGTACATTTATGATACTTATGAACCTAATTCTAAGAGTCTACAAACTTTGTAACTTGTCTGCAATACTTCTTAACTAATTCGCACTGGAATCTGTATGTATCATGTATTCTCACTTGTTGTGTGAAAGTTCAATAAATTTGAGAGCACAATCCTTATCATTTACTTATTTAAATTAAAACCAAAATCTCTTTCACAAGGCGAAAACGTGTGATATGGTAGAAAAAATTTTTGATCAATAGCAACAAATTATTTTTTATTTATTTAGAAGTTACAACCACACATCTAGAATTACATAATGATTATTTTTTCAACTCACAAGTTAAATTAAGTGTTGCGTCTTTGAGAATGTTCTTCTTTCTTTATACAGAAATTCTCTAAAACGCAGCCCGTTACTTTATCAGCCTCTCTAGATGCAACACCCTTAGACCAGGCACATAACACTGCTTTCTTATCACTACAACTGTAAATACAAAATTTATATGCCCAAAATCTTTTAAAAAAATTTTGTTAATCTAAATCTAGGATGTCTTCTTGTTGTGAGTTCGGGCGTTCGTGCGTTCGTGAGTTCGTGCTCAAAGTAAGAATATCACTACCATCCTGCTTTGATTCGTTCGGCAGCTTTTGAAAGCACTATTTGCAACTTTAGCTTTCTGAAGGTTAAAAATAATGGGTTCTGTGCTATTACTTTCCTTAGCATAAACATGTATTATTAAAATAGCAGCCGTGGCGCAGTGGTAGCGCACTTGCCTCAGAAACGTAAGACCCGTGGTTCAAACCCCACCTCTGGGCAAGTTTTGCGACATCGGTTGGGAAGGAGGCGTGAACTTCCCATTAAATGCTCTTCCGCGGTGCTCTGTGATAAGACCGTAAGGACTTCTTGGGGCACCTTAATCAATTTAAAAAAAAAAAAAAAATTAAAAAGCAATTAATAACTAATACTATATTCCGTTTTCCGTTATTCATAAACATTTGGTTTCACGAGGTCAAACAATCAGTATAATTCTTATTCCGAGTTGAAATATTTTTAACTGGGAACAAAATTTGAACGGAAAAGAAGAAGTTACTATAAGAAGGCATTTTTGTTTCATTTGATATAAGCACGAACATACTTAAGCTTGCGTTTGTATAATATCTCAAACTATCGTATTGGAAACAACAAAAACAACTTGGTGGTGTATTTGTGTTAAAACTAACTTGGTGGTGTATTTGTGTTGTTCCAATTTTACATAAAATTATTAGTAATCAAGTAAAGCTCTTTAAATAAACGATTTTCTGTAGGAAAAAATTACTTAAGTAATAGGATTTACCCCATGTATCAGATGTAGGGTAGGGTGGGACAAGATGACCCGTGGGGCAAGAAGTCTTTTTGCTTTTGTGAGGGTATCATAGAATAGTAATGTTTTATTCCTCTATTATAATATTAATGTAGTTAAAACAATATCACGGAACAAAAAATAGTTTAAATATTGTTATTAGTTAAGGTTTAAATAGATTTTTAACTTTTTTGAGTATTTTATTAGTAAGTTGCTTCTAACTTCAAATGTTTATTGGACTGGCAATACTTATGCGATGAAGGTAAGAAAATATTTTTTTTTTATACAGAATTTGTCCCACAATAATATATAGAAAAAAAAGTTTTTAATTAAGCAACAAAATTAGTTTTATTTGTATTAAACTTGCACTCACTACATATGAGGCAAGATGTCCTCGTTTACGTGGGGTAAGATGCCCACGGAGGGCTTCTAGTCTCGTGGTTTTACGGAATTTCTACCATTTTAAAAGTGTGT